TGCAACAGTTAATAAGTGGTTATTAACTATTAATAACTTGGAGTTATTAAGTGTAGGGTTAAAAATTCCCATCACTAGTTGCTACCATCTTTGAATCATATAAAAATGATTGCAACCACCTTTATAACCATTTTGTTTCCTTTTTTGGGTTACAACATGGAACACTAGGTTGATTATGTACCTTCCTTTGTCCTAAATAAAAAATTACACACTGTTAACAGATGCTTTTCTTACAATAGGTCAGATCAGAACAAAAATGTGGTAACTTGGAAACTTATTGGAACAAAGTAATTGATGAATGTAAAATCATGTAATGAAAATTATACCAGAGAACTAAAAGATCTTGGATTATTATATGTAAAAATTATGTAACATATTATTATATAGGCTTTAGAGCAATGATCACATTAAAAAAAAAAATTTTCAAAAATAAACAAATTCTTTTATTTTTAATTGATAAAGTTTTAAAAAATATGGAATCATGTGAATAATCTCCAGAACTTAAGCTAAAAATTGATGTGATTTTTTTTGTATGATTATTATGTATGACTTTGTGTTAAAACCATTATTAAAAAATCACATGTTAAATTTTAGAGACAAAAGTTAGTGAAGTTTTAAAAAAAAAGATGCATATCAGCTTTACAAAAAAACTGACAATAGTATTTCATGTTGATTTTTTTATTAAACTGTACAACTTTGAGGCTTAATTCCTCTACAAAAACATGACATATCAACAAAATGAAGAGGTAACTTTGTAGAGAAAGGTCTTAGCTTCAAAATTACGTCTTGTTTTTTTGGTAATGCATTTCCATTTTTGGAGGAGTTAAAGGATATGCACAACCAATAAAAGTTGTAGGGGCCAGGTTTCCTGCACTGTATTGTATATTTAAATTTCGTGTAACAAAAATAAATATAAAATAAATAAAATAAAATGATCAGCAAAGAAAATTTCAAAAGGAACTTTTACATTTACACATATTATTTCTTTGTTTGTGATATACAACCAACCAGCATAGTGGAAGTTTGTTGTTACACTAAATGTTGTACAGAACTCATTGCTTCTGAAACTTCGCCAGTGTATAGTTGTTACCTCTCTAAATTGGAGATCAAGTTCGGATCAAATTCAAATCCAGTTTATCACTTACTTTTTATTGCCAGAATGTAAAGCTACATTGCACAATATAAAAAATTATTGTAACATTTCAAATTTCCACTATGCTTCTCTCATTCCAAAGCCTTATATAACAACATAAAGAACCGCCTTGACTCAAAACTTGCTTGAAATTAACTTAAAAATTCCTTTTTTTTTTTAAATTATAAATTTTAATCTCTAGAAATGCAAAATGCCAGAATAGCCAACACCTTTATTTGATGAACTTTCTATTAAATATCCAGAAAGTCAGCTAACATGTAAAGTTGGGAGGCATAAATTATTGTGTAATGGGGATGTAAAATATTTTTTGTCAATCTTTTTTATTTAATATATAATAAATTGAATAAATTGATCAACATTTCTCTTAATGATTTAATGATTACTGGATTTTTATACAAATATATATTTATAGATTTTATTTATTAATTAATAGTCACAGGTCAACTAACACCAGTTTCTAAAGATCAGAATGTTAAATTATATACGAAATAAACCTGCGGAGGAATTGTATAAAACATACATTACAATTATTAACAAGAAAAACTGGGAGAAAAAATTATTGTTATATTTATTTAATTTGTCTATTTGATAAATTGTGATTAGCTTAGTATTAGGTGCTGTGTCTGAGAAGACATCAAGGACCATGAGTGATTTAAACACTCCACACGCATATTATGGAATTCGAGCTATTGACTGAATTATAGTATAAGTTGATCAATATCCATATCAAAAAATTCTGCGCCACAAACATTGTGGAATTACTAGATGCCCTAAAGTTACTGGTGCAAATTCTAGATTTTTAAATAAAATACAAAACAAAACATATAAATATCACGCTAAAGACATTATTGGATAAGAATGGTCATTTGAAAACACTTCTTAAAAGCTATTTGACACCAGATGGATGAATTAGAATTAAAATGTGATGCTTATAGTAATATCAAAAAAGATTTAATTGTTGTTTTTTATTCAGTAGTTGCTAAACAAAACTATTATGATGGTGAAGGTGAGACTGTGGGTTTGACAAGTACTTCAAATTGTCAGGTTTATGGAAAAGAGAGAGCTGATTCTCTGTGAAGTTGAATGGAATTCAAAGCTGTTGGTGAGCAGATATTCAATTTATATTCATTGTGCATATATATAAATTATTTTATTTAATAATGGATCTCTCTTATACTTGCTTGGGTAATTAGTATTCATAAAAGTCAAGGCCAAACTCTGGATAAAATAAAGTTGATTTGGATCATGTATTTGAAAATGGTATTTATATATATATATATACAGTACCTGGACAAAAGTATCGGAATGCTTGCTTTTGTTGATTGCGCAAAAATATACATAATAAACATATATGAAATTTATATCATTTGCGGTTTAGGTTCTT